TGTCAACTTATTCCTCAACAGAAACTCTGCCAGAAGGAATTGGCAGGAAATATTCAAAATCATGAAAAGCAAGGACTTACAACCAAAATTACTCCACCCAGCAAAGCTATCATTTAGAATTGAAGGTCAGATAAAGAGCTTTACAGACAAGAAAATGCTAAAGGAGTTCATCACCACCAAACCAGCACTACAAGAAATGTTAACGGGTCTTCTTTAAGAAAGAAAGAAAAAAAAAGATAAAAAATATGAATCATAAAATGGCAATAAATACATATCTATCAATAATTACTTTGAAAGCTCCAATAAAAAAACATAAGGTGATTGAATGGGTAACAAAACAAGACCCTTACATATGCTGTCTACAAGAGACTCACTTCACATTAAAAGATACATCCACAAACTGAAAGTAAAGGGCTGGAAAGAGATATTTCATGAAAATAGAAACAGCGGGCACATACCCTGAGGGCTTCCGGACTGTGAGAGGGGGCAGGCCGGGCTGAGGGACCCCCTCCAGTGCACAAATTTTCATGCACTGGGCCTCTAGTATTGAATAAGAGTGGTGAAAGCAGACAACTCTGTCTTGTTCCTGATCTTATGGGGAATGCTTGTATTTTTTGCCCATTTAGTATGATGTTGGCTATAGGTTTGTCATATATGGTCTTTGTTATGTTGGGAAATGCTTCCTCTATTCTCATTTTGCTGAGAGTTTTTTGCTGGGGTCCAACCCCAGCAGGTCCAGGGGTTCCCAAAGGTGTAGACGGAGTCGGCGAAGAAGGAATGACACGGAGACAGCGTTCAGTTGATCAGCAGCCTAGCCAGGATCTCCAGCGAAGTTCTGGTTAGGATCTCCAGCCAGGTTCTGTGTCCATGTTCTCTTGCTAGGTTCTCCAGCCAGGTTCTGTAGCCAAGTTCCCTCGCTAGGTTCTGTCCAGGTTCTCCAGCCAGGTTCGGTCACCAGGTTCTAGTCAGGTTCTCTTGCCATGTTCTATCCAGGTTCTGTAGCCAGGTTCTGTCTCTAGGTTCTTCAGCCAGGTTCTCTCGCTAGGTTCTGTGTCTAGGTTCTGTGGCCAGTTTCTGTCCAGGATCTTTTGCCATGTTCTCTCCAGCGAAGTTCTTCTGTCTCTAGGTTCTGTGTAGGTTCTGTGTCTCTTGGTTCTGTCTTCTAAGTTCTGTGTCTAGGTTCTGTGTTCTAAGTTCTGTCTCCTGTTGTCTTGTTACATCTGTATTTATACCAGTTGATTCAATCCTATCAATCTCTATTACAAAGGTTAGGGCGTTTCTTATCTCCATTCCAGGGAGTAAAGATTATGTAGCTTAAGCATGATTGTCCGTAGTTAAAGTGATTAATTACCCGCCCGGCACTTAGTTGAGGGGTTTTATTCCCTCCCTAACTTCAGGGGAAAATCCCTACCTGGGGAAACAACCTTTCTCAGAGAGGTGACCTTGGTTAAAACACATAGTGCCAAGAACTAAGATGGCGGCATAGGTAAACACCGGGAAATTATTGCCTCACACAACAATTGAAAATTACCCCAAAGGACTGAGCAAACATCATCCAGAACAACAGGAAGGCTGGCTGAGTGTAAATTCCACAACTAGAAGGAAAGAAAAGCACGCTGAGAGCCAGAGGCGCTGCGGAGGTGAAGTGCAGAGGTACTGCGGCGCGCGCGAGGAAAGGGGGTGGCGCCTGAGGACGCGGCTGTCTTTTTGAATCATAAACTCCCGACGGCTCTGAACTCCGGTTCCGGGAAGTCTCTGGGGACCCAGGTCTCACACGGGGAGAAGCTGGTCTGTCCGGCAGCGAGCGAACTTGAGGGCGGCTTTCCCTCAGAGGTGCTTGCAGCCGTTACCGGAAGACTGAGACGCGCGACTCTGGGCGGAGAATCGGCCATGGCCGCTTTCTCCGCCCTCTGACTCCCTGAGACCCCGCCCCACCCAGGCTGCCGCAGAGGCTTTTGCATGTGAATGTACCTAACTGCAGCTGAACCAGGCAGACCTGGAACTTCCAAGAGAAGGCCCAAGGCCCCGCAGCGGCTTGCATTGCTTCACAGCTGAGCCTCTTCGTGGCTCCTGCTGTGTGGCCTCAGGCAGAGGCTGAATTAGCACCTCCTTAGATCCAGGAGCCACTGTACCCAGTGGTCAGAGGGGGTCCATCCAGACTGCAACTCCTCAGATCCATAAGGGACGCACTCAGGGAGCAGACTCAGTGAGCACCAAAGCCCCACTGAAGCAAGTCTTGCCCCAGAAGGGTGTCTTCAGCACAGAAGTTCTCCCACTTTAGACACAGCTGATTCTCACAGCCAATTGGCCTGGAGGTCAATTCCTCCCAGTGATTCTACAACAACCAAGGCACCAAGAGTGCACCAAGAGTGTCCACCCCAGGTAACTGGGGAGGCTGAGCTACTGGGCCCTACAGGACACCTGGCGCACAGGGCCACTCTATCAACACAGGGAAGCTGCCAAAATGCGGAGACAAAGAAACAGGTCACAAATGGCAGAAATGGAGGAAAGCAAACGATTGGATATAGAGTTTAAGGCCACGGTTATAAGGTTTTTCAAGAATTTTATGGAAACCGCCGATAAATTTAATGAATCCCTCAATAAGTATAGGGAGACCATGGAGGACATGAAAAAGGACCAACTAGAAATTAAGCATACACTGACTGAAATAAAGAATAATTTACAGAGATCCAGCGGCAGAAAAGAGGATCCCAAGAATCAAGTCAAAGATTTGAAATACAAAGAAACAAAAAATACCCAACCGAAAAAGAAAAAAGAAAAGAGATTCCAAAAATATGAAGATAGTGTAAGGAACCTCTGGGACAACTTCAAGCGTACCAACATCAGAATTATAGGGGTACCAGAAGGAGAGAGAGGGCAAGATATTGAAAACCTTTTTGAAGAAATAATGACAGAAAACTTCCCCTACCTGGTGAAAGAAATGGACTTACAAGTCCAGGAAGCGCAGAGAACCCCAAACAAAAGGAATCCAAGGAGGACCACACCAAGACATATCATAATTAAAATGCCAAGAACAAAAGATAAAGAGAGAATCTTAAAAGCAGCAAGAGAAAGACAGTCAGTTACCTACAAGGGAGTACCCATACGACTGTCAGCTGATTTCTCAACAGAAACCATGCAGGCCAGAAGAGACTGGCAAGAAATATTCAAAGTGATGAATAGCAAGAACCTGCAACCAAGATTACTTTATCCAGCAAAGCTATCATTCAGAATAGAAGGTCAGATAAAGAGCTTCACGGATAAGAAAAAGCTAAAGGAGTTCATCACCACCAAACCAGCATTATATGAAATGCTGAAAGGTATTCTTTAAGAAGAGGAAGAAGAAAAAGGAACTCTTACCATTTGCCACAGCATGGATGGAACTTGAGAGCGGATAAATACCACAGGATCTCACTCATTTGTGGAATATAATGAACAACATAAGCTGATGAACAAGGACTGATCCAGAGACGGAGAGGCATTGATTGGACTGTCGGGACTTGGAGGGAAGGTAGGGGAGGGTGGGGGTAAGGGGGAAAGATCAACCAAAGGACTTATATGCAAGCATATAGGCCTAACCAATGGACATGGACAACGGGGGGGTGAGGGCATGAGCGGGGGTGGGGGGGGGTGGGGGGTAGAGGGTAACGTGGGGACAAGGACACATATGTAATATCTTAATCAATAAAAAATATATTAAAAAAAAAAAAAAAACAAACACATAGTGCCAAGAAGGTGAGCAAACATATTAAGAACAGTATGCCATATATGCCAGGTCCTTTGAAACAGCAAGGATGGACCGGCTCCTGGCAGTTTTTAATCATAAATAGTTGCTGGATTTTATCAAATGCCATTTCTGATCCTATTGATATGATTATGTGATTTATTTATTTATTTATTTATTAATATATTTTATTGACTTTTTACAGAGTGGAAGGGAGAAGGATGAGAGTTAGAAACATCAATGAGAGAGAAACATCAATCAGCTGCCTCCTGCATACTTCCTACTGGGTATGTGCCCACAACCAGGGTACATGCCCTGGACCGGAATCGAACCTGGGACCCTTCAGTCCGCAGGCTGATGCTCTATCCACTGAGCCAAACTGGTTAGGGCTGATTATGTGATTTTTATCCTCCTTTTTGTTTATGTGGTGTATTACGTTTATTGATTTGCAAATATTGTACCAGCCTTGCATGCCTGGAATAAATCCCACTTAGTCATAGTGTATGATCTTTTTAATGTATTATTGGATCCGATTTGCTAATTTCTTGTTGAGGATTTTAGCTTCTGTGTTCATCAGGGATATTGGCTTATAATTTTATATCTTTGCAGTGTCTTTATCTGGCTTTGGAATTAGGATAATCCTGGCCCCATAAAATTAGCTTGGGAGTCTTCCCTCCTCTTGAATTTTTGGAATAGTTTGAGAAGGATAGGTGTTAGTTCTTCTTTGAATCTTTGGTAAAATTCACCTGTAAAGCCATCAGGGCTTTTGTTTGTTTGGAAGGTTTTTGATTACTGCTTTAATTTCTCTAGTTGTAATCTGTCTATTAAAATTCTCTGATTCTTCTTGATTTAGTTTTGGAAGATTGTATATTTCTAGGAATTTGTCCATTTCTCTCAGGTTGTCCAGTTTGTTGGCTTGTTCATAATACGTTCTTACAATCCTTTGTATCTCATTAGCTGTGAAGTCTGGGTAAACCCCTAGACCTCTCTGAGCCTCGGTGTTTTCATCCCAGTGAGGGAGATGAAGAAACCTATTTGGGAAGGTTACTGTAAACATTTGCATTAACCTCTGAAAAGCTCAGCAGCAGGGAAGGTACTGGGGTGGAAGTCAGCAGTTTATAGAGGAAACTGGCACCAAGGGTGCTACACCATGCCTTCCAATGGCACACGCTGGAGGCTGTGCGGAGTGGACAGAGGGGAAGCCCTGAGAGTGAGGCGAGGTCGGGAGCATGGATTTTCCAAGATGCTTTCCCACCCACGGGAGGACAGTACTCACTGTTAATGCCAGCATCACTTCTCTGTAGTTCCGGTTCCCGTTCAGCCGCTTCTTCAGGGCTCGAATGGCATCCTTTGGCCTGGAGGACATATTAAGATCCTTAAAAATTACACTTTGGGACACTGTCCTTTTTTCACTGCCATTTTTATGAACTAGCATATCTACGAAGTTATTTGCTGTAGCATGTTTGTAATTGTAAAAGATTGGAAACAAATTAACACCCATCAACACGAAACAGGGTAAATTAAAGCTTATTTATCCATGTAATGGAATACTATGCAGCTGCGCAAAAGAACACACTCCTTGTGCATCACCATGGAGCAAAAATGTGAACAGTTGTCTGCAGAGCAGTGCAGAGGGCTGCTCCTGTCTGAGTTACCCAAGGACAACAGACACGGACACAGTGCACATGCCGGCCAGGGAGGAGAAGCTCTGTGAAGAGCCACAAGAAGCTGGTAACTTCAGCTGCCCCTGAAGAGGGAACTGGGTGACAGAGAGGACAGGGAGATTTTTCACCTGATTGTCTATTTGCAGCCCTTTTGACTTTTGTATAACATGCAAGTATTTGTCCAAAATAAAAACCAGCCCCCTGTGCGTGGGTGCACTGAGGAGACCACAGAGAGAGCATGGCCAGGTCCTTGCGTAGGCCTGGGGCTCAGCTCCTTCCCAGTTCCATGGAACTCCTTTTTCCCTAAGAAAACTTTAGTCTCCTCAAAACCCAAGGAATTGTGTGCTTTTAGGTAAGGGATCTGCTATGGATTCCCAGAGAGAATCTCACAGAATTATAGGCAGTCCCCTGTTTACAAGTGGGCCTGTTCAAAAGCTCACTTATCAGTTGATTATTTGGAACTTGAAACGCATTCTTCCTTAAGTCACTGTTGGAACTGGGAGTTGGAGTCCCCAGCAGCCCCTAACAAGTACAGTCCTTATGTCTGGCATGTTATTTAATTTACTCTAAGTCAGGATTAAACAAAGGTGTGGACCTAGGAGGCACTTCCTGCATGGAGGCCCTGCCAGCTGGCCGGGGGAAGCCCCATCACCTGAGCTCTAGGAAGCCCCAGTCCAGCTGCAGGCCTGCCTCTTGCTCCCACAACTGGCGCCAGCCTTCTACAGATTCACGTGTCATTATATCTGATCTTTCCAAAGTTGAAGGTTGGTAAGTCAGAAAGAAACCTTCTGCTCCTCCTGAACTATTTATGATCCACTTACCAAATGAAAAAGTCCTTTCAAATGTGTATGAGGAAGAGGGCAGGGGAGTGGGAGCTCGGCTAATCAGCCCAATTTAAACAGAAACACAGCAAGGCAAGGCTTCAAGAAATGTAAAGCCCTGGCCGGTGTGGCTCACAGGTTAGAGTGTCAGCCCGTGGACTGAAGGGTCATGGGTTCAATTCCCGGTCAAGGGCATGTACCTGGGTTGCAGGTTTGATCCCTCTGCCCCTGTCAGGGTGCGTGTGCGGAAGGCAACCAATCGATGTATCTCTCTCATATAGATGTTTCTCTCCCTCTCCCTCCCTCCTTCCCTTCTAATCTCTCTAAAAGAAAATCAATGGGGAAAGAATGAAGAAGTTTAAAAATACCTGAGACCTATTTTCCCCTCCCAACTTGAAAAATGGCTGCCTGCAGGAAGCCTTGGCTCTGAGTCCAAGGGCTGATGGGACAAGGCTCTCTGGAGTATGTCCTTGCAAGTGTTTGCAGTACGGCTGTTTCCACATAGGAATGCTGATTCCTGCAAATGTGGGACTTGACAAGCTCTCAGCTTTGAGGGCTGTGTGTGGACTTGAGCTGGTGAAGGTCCACAGCTACTGGTCAGAAGCATGGAGTGGCTTCCTCTCTCCAGGGCTCTGCTCAGCCGGGTTAGCCCTGGCCCATGGCTGCCATTCCCCCTGGTCCAGCCTCACTCCTCTCCGCTTGAGCTTCATGGAGCAGAAGAATGGGAACAAGCTCCAGGGCTGCGCTCCCTGAGCTCAGGAGCAGAGCCCCCGGCGCTCCCAGTGGGGGGATGTGCGGGGGGGGGGGGGGGGGGAGCAGCCAGCAGGCTCCCTCCCTGGAGCTACAGTGAAAACTCATCCTCAGAAGGACAGCCTGGGAGTGACTGGGTGAGCACAAAAGCAAGCACTTCCCTCCCTCCCTGGGGAAGGCTTCAGAGGCGAGGATCAAAGCGTGTCAGAGGAATTGCCAAGTTTTAAGCAGCAGCAGCAGCAGGTTGGACAGCAAGGAGCTAGGAACAGGGAGACGGGAGAGGGAAGAATCAAGAGCCAAGGAGCAGAAAGACTCAGGAGGCAGCGGCAGGTGTGAGATGTCCCAACACCCTGGCAGCTTTGGCAGGAAAAGCCAGGCCTCAGGGCTGCCCAGGGCCTCAGGTCAGGCTACAGCCCCGAAATGTGTGTCCCTGTCGAAGTGTCGAAGTTATTCCAAGATGGAGGACAGGGCTGCCCCCATGACTCACCTCGAACACCTCCCTGCCCTCCCCCAACCCCACTCTGCCTTGGGCTTGCTCCTCTGCACCCTTCCTGCTAAGAGGCTGGGAAACAGACAAAACTTCAGTGAGCTGGGAAGATCCAGAAATTCATGAACATGACCCAGGTCAGTGGGTCCTCATCAGAGCCACACATCAAAGCACAGCACTTACCAAATCCACGTGCCTATGCCCTCCGTAGGTAGGACTGGGAGAGGCCTGGCAAATGGACTCTGAAACCTTGCTGGGGAGGTTACTCAGCCAGGCATTCCTGGCTAATGACCAAGAATTCAGGACACAAGGGGCTGTCACACAAGGCCTCAGCCTGGAGGAGACCTCAACCCTGGAAACTGGGAAAGCCCAGGGAGGGGCCTGTGGGGCAGCCACCGGGATCCCAGCCTCCCAGAGGTAGAAGTGCAGGCAAGGTGCTGGTGGCTGGAGCCGTCTTCCGGGGCTTACACCTGCCCTTCATAGCTGTGGTGTGAGACCTTTGGCAAGTGACCAAACCACTCTGGGCCTCAGTTTCCTCAATATTAACACAAACTGCCCCTACCATATAGGGCTGTTGGGGTGGTGCTGCATGAGCTGGTGCAATCCAGGGCACGGCAAAGGGGTCCGGCACGTGGCAAGTGCTCAGAGAACGGCTGCGGTAAGGGCAGTGAACCCATGAGACAGGCACTATTGGCATCCCCATTTGTTAATGAGGAAACTGACACAGAGATTCAGTCACTCACCCAGGGTCACATGACAAGTGAGTGGAGGACCGAGGACTCCGGCCCAGGCTGGTGGCTGTAAGCTCCATGCTCCTCACCCCGCTGCACTCCTTTCCTATGCTGCCTACACTGCCCTCCAGCCAGGGGGTCCCCTTCCTTCCCCTGCCATCCACCCTCACTTGGCTGACCGAGGACTCCACTCGGAGGCCACCTCCTCTCAGAACCCTTTGCTGCTGCCGGCCCGCTCCAGCATCTCTCCTGAACGCAGCATCTTTCTCAAGCACCGTCGCGTTGGTATGGTTCTATTGTTCACCTAGCTAACACGTTTGTCAGAACCATTGTGTGCACACTACGCTAGGTGCTAGGGATGAAATGGTGGCAAAACAGTTTCTGGCCCTGGCTGGTGTGGGCCAGTGGTTAGAGGGCCAGCCCTCACACCAAAAGGTCTGGGGTTCGATTCCCAATCGAGGGTTGCAGGTTCGATCCCCGGCCCCTGGTTGAGGCAACCAATCGATGTGTCTCTCACATCCATTTCTCTTTCCCCCTCACCTCTCTCTCCCATGCCCTCTCCCTCCCTTCCTTCCACTCTCTCTAAAAATCAATGAAAAAAATATCCTTGGGTGGATTAACAACAACAAAGTGGAGTGTGCAGTGTAGGGGAAGTGGGGGTGAGACAGCCCTGTGACAGGTCCCGCAGGTGTGGAAGTGTGACCTGTGATGGGAGCGCGTACAGAACAGGGCCTGTGAAATCACATAACGGGGGTTTGTCCAAATCAGGAGGGAGGGGTGTCAGGGAAATGAGACAAGTGAATGAAAGAACTAGTCAGGGAGAGGGAGAGGCGTGAGGAGGGAAGAGAAGGACACTAGGCCTGGAGCCCCGAAGCAGGAAGGGGGCAGGGTACCCACCGTTAGCCAGGCTTGCAGGGAGAGATCTTGGCAGTGACCTCATAGCAGAGGCAAGGCTAGGACACTCCCAGGAAGCACTGGGGGCTCTCTGGAAATAGAGGAACAGGAGTGCGGGACACTTCAGGAAGAAAGCGCTTTGAGGACACGCCTGCAGACCCTGGAAGGAGGCCTGTTCCTTTGGAAGGAGAAGGCCACATTCTAACACATTTGCATGCGTGCCCCTCCCATTTGTGGCGAATGGCAAACAGGGCTATGGGAAGTGCAAGGGGCTGAAAGATCAGAGGGGCTGAAGGTGAGGGCCCTAAATGGAGTGGCTGGAGGGCCTGGTCATCCCACAGGGTCTGTGAAGGATTTCACAGGAGTCCCTTGTTAGCAAGGGTGTAACTTTGAGAGTTCTGCATTTCCAAGCCCCTCTGCCTGCAGCATGGAGAACAGACAAAGGGGAAGAGTCCAAGGCAGAGGGACTACCCATGGGGACAGCCCACTCTAGAGGATGACACAGGAAGACAGCTCTTTACAGCCCGACTGTGCCCACCTCTCTAGCCTCTGTTCCAGAAAATCCCCTCCCCACTTCTTCCCTGCACACCCAGACCTCACCTGTACACCGCGCCCCACCCCCCATGCTGCCCTTGCCATGCACCCTTCGCTACACAGCACGCTTCTCCTCTTCCTGCCATCCTTGGGCTCAGCCCAAAGCCCGCCCCTCCAGGAGGCACCCACTGCCTCTGAGTCCCAGCAATGGGCACACTTCTCTGCTTGTGCGTGTCCCACTCACCATGGCATCTGGGCCTCCAGCTGTGGGGCCGACAAATGAGGCTGCGCAGCTGGATGCACAAGTAAATGAGTGGCACCGGGTGGACGTAAAGAAGAAAGGCCCGAGCGGGGCTGCGGGAAGAGCCCAGCGACTATGGCATCCGACATGCGGGGCCCCAAGTGTGTGATCCCGTCTGTGAGCCAGACACGAGCTGATCGGCCATTTAGACGGCAGAAATAGGCCACCTTTCA